GGGGGTGTATGTGGGGGAGAGGTGTTGGGAAGGGTGTTAGAGGACGGGAATGGGGAGATCACTGTGGGGAAAATGAGTGGGGGGGGGGCTGTGAGGGAAAGGGAGGTGGGAGGTGTGTTTTGGGGGGTCCCTGGAAGCGTCGCTGTGAGGATAGGCTGTGAGGGGCAGGGGGAGCTGCAGAGACGCTGTAGTGGGACCGTGCAGGGCTGCAGAAGGAGGATGGAGGCCACAGGGAGAATAAGGGGGGAAGGGACTTCTGGAGGGGTCTTCCCCAGCCCCCTGCTCCGAGCAGGGACAGCCATGGAGTCAGGTCAGGTCATGCAGGACACTGAGGCCCCAGTGGCACGAGCGGACAGAGGGACCCAACAGCAGGAGGATGGGGCACCTCGTACCTGGAGGGATCTCAGCACCAGCTTTGCTCTGGTGCATCCTTCAGTGGAGGTCTCTGGCAGACACGTGCTGACAGCCCATCCCTTGTGCACCCGCAGATATCAAAGAGCACGTGAAGCAACTGGAGAAGGCCGTGTCGGGGAAGGAGCCACGCTACGTCCTGCGTGCCTTGCGGGCTCTGCCCTCCACCTCCCGCCGACTCAACTCCAACGTGCTTCACAAAGCCATCAATGGCTTCTTCACCTCCAACAGCACCATGCGGGATTTCCTCCTTGGCTTCCTGGAGGAGGTACAGCAGCAGGGGATGGGCAGAGGTGACCGGCTGCGGAGGGGATGCTTTTCCTGCAGCAAGGAGCCTCCGGAACGCTGCTGTGCAGAGCAGGAGGGCACCGCGAACAGCAAGGGCTTGGGGACGTTTGGGACGTGCAGCCTGGGTGCTCGGGAGCGCATGTGAGATGAGATGGGGCGCTGCAGCTCTTGGCAGGGATGGGAGTGTAGTGCCGGCAGCCTGGGCTGGCTCTTGTGTCACACCTCAAGCAGGGCTGTCACCAAGGACAGGCTGGGGACAGGCCTCGCTGCAGGCGGAGGTGTGAGGAGCACTGGGCGGGCAGCAGCGGCGCGGGAGGGACGGGGGTCCAGCACGTCTCTCTCCTCCCCAGTCCATGGACACGGAAGCAGAGCTGCAGTTTCGCCCACGGATGGGGAAAGCGGCCTCAGCCCCTCTCTTGCCAGAAGTGGAGACGTACCTCCAGCTGCTTCTTGTCATCTACCTGATGAACAGCAAGCGATACCCGGAGGTGAGATTCCCTGAGCTCCTGGTTCTGAAGCTGAGCTCTTCATTTCGTGCTTCTGCGCCAGGCAAGGCCTGGAGAGCCTCAGGGACCTGCCTGTTTGTGGCCCCACACTTTCCCCTTTGTTTCAGCTGTGTTTGGAGGCAGGTGCCGGGCTTGGTCCTGCAGCCTTGGCAGTCTCTCTGCTCTTCCCGGGCAGCAGTTCCTCTGCTCTGACCTCTCTTCCCCTCCTGCAGGCCCAGAAAGTGTCTGACGACCTGATGCAGAAGATCAGCTCCCAAAACCGCCGGGCCCTGGACCTGGTGGTGGCAAAATGTTATTACTACCACTCCCGCATCTACGAATTCCTGAATAAACTCGACGTGGTCAGGAGGTAGGGTGGGTCCTGGGTGCGGGGTCTCCCTGAACTTGATCCCACGCGCCCCGGTGAGCAGGGCTGTTTCTTTCCTTCTCCCCGACATGCTCTCTCCTTTTCCTGCAGCTTCCTGCATGCCCGGCTACGGACGGCCACACTGCGCCATGATGCGGACGGGCAGGCCACCCTCCTGAACCTGCTGCTGAGGAACTATCTCCACTACAACCTCTATGACCAAGCAGAAAAGCTCGTCTCCAAGTCCGTGTTTCCCGAGCAGGCCAACAACAACGAGTGGGCTCGGTACCTCTATTACACAGGTGAGAGCAGCGGGTCCCGCACGGTGCTGGCAGCTCAGGCTGCACCCAAGATCGAGGGCTCTGGTTCCCCAGAGAATCTGTTTGAGCAGCTGGAAATGGGGCTTCCAGGCAGAATTTGAAGCCACATCCATGTGGATCCAGTTGATTCACTCGGTGGCTTTTCCAAACGCCTTCCACCCCGTGTGAATGCAGGGCGCATCAAGGCCATCCAGCTGGAGTACTCGGAGGCGCGGAGGACCATGACGAATGCCCTGCGGAAGGCACCGCAGCACACGGCTGTTGGCTTCAAGCAGACGGTGAGCGGGGACAGGAAGCTCGTGGGGTTCGGTACCTCCCGGCTCCCCAGGGAAGCTGCCTCAGGGTTGGGCCCCGCGGGGACTCACGGTCGCTTTCTGCTCAAGGTGCACAAGCTGCTCATCGTGGTGGAACTGCTGCTCGGGGAGATCCCAGACAGGCTCCAGTTCAGACAGCCCTCCCTCAAGCGGTCGCTTATGCCCTACTTCCTCCTGACTCAGGGTACGACAGGCGGCTCCTGCCCGCGCTCGGTCCCTCTCTGGTGTCTTGGCACAACGTCCCGTGCTCTGAGGGAGCAGTGGGGGTTTCTCTCCTCTCCCCTCGATGGGACTCAGCCGCAGACTCCACGTGGGGAAGAGGAGGCAGCCCCTAAGCGGAGGTGATGGCAGGACTGGGAGTCAGCCCTGCCTCGCTTTCCCCCATGGCCCGGCCCTCGCTCCTTCCCCAATTAACACATTCTCTCCTCCAGCCGTCAGGACCGGGAACCTGGCCAAGTTCAACCAAGTCCTCGATCAGTTTGGGGACAAGTTCCAGGCCGACGGCACCTACACTCTGATCATTCGTCTGAGGCACAACGTCATCAAGACGGGTAGGACGCTGCCGCTGTGGTGTTTGGGGACCCCGTCGTGGCCGCTGCTGTGGGCTTAGTGGGCACAGGACTGCCTGGCCCGGGGGGCTCCACTCTCGTTCCTCCCGCACAGGTGTCCGTATGATCAGCCTCTCCTATTCTCGCATCTCCCTGGCTGATATTGCCCAGAAGCTGCAACTGGACAGTCCGGAGGATGCGGAGTTCATTGTCGCCAAGGTACCTGCCTGTGATGTCCTGGGCTGCCCGCGGCCCCTGGTTCTCGCCGCCGGGCTCGCTCTCCTGCCGGGCTGCCTCTGCCCCGTCCCCGCAGCGCTCCCGTCCTGGGGTAGTTGCTGGTTTTAGGTTGAGGCCTCTCCCGGGGCTCCTGGGGACATTCAGGGCACCACATCCCCTCTCTGTGCGCTGTGTCCTGAGCCCACCGCTCCTGTCGCAGCAGCCAGCTCCTCCCTTCGCTCTAAACTGCTGCCTCAGCCCTCGGAGACAGCAGGTGCCCTGACCGCGTGCCCTCCGGCTTGCAGGCCATTCGGGATGGCGTCATCGAGGCCAGCATTAACCACGAGAAGGGCTACGTCCAGTCAAAGGAAATGATCGACATCTACTCCACCCGGGAGCCCCAGCTGGCATTTCACCAGCGCATCTCTTTCTGCCTCGATATCCACAACATGTCCGTCAAGGTGAGCGCGGCAGGGCCCGGCCGAAGGGGACAGCGGGACAGAGCTGAGGCGTTTCGTAGCTCAGAGCTTCTCCTCCCCCTTCTCTTTTCCAGGCCATGAGGTTCCCACCCAAATCTTACAACAAGGACTTGGAATCTGCAGAGGTGAGATCTCCTCTGGGTCTCCGCAGCCTCCTGCCAGAAACAGCTTGTGCTGCGGCCCAGCGGCCACCGAGGCCACGGGAAGGACGCGGCTCCTGTCCCTCAACTGCCACCAACCTCTGCCTTTGCCTTCCAGGAGCGCCGGGAGCGCGAGCAGCAGGACCTGGAGTTCGCAAAGGAGATGGCTGAGGACGATGATGACGGTTTTCCGTGACCCTCTGGCCAGGCTGTATTTTTTTATTTGTCCCTAGGGAAGATGCTGTCTGAGCGGAGCCGCCCCCTACGCAGCCCCGGTCCCCCCGTCTGCCTTTCTTTTATAAATACCTGCATGTCTGTACTGTGGGAGGGGGAAAAGGGGGTTCCCTGGGCCCGCAGCCGCAGGCCCCGCTCTCCCGTCCCCCTGCGACCCACGGCGG